ACCTTGAGCAGATCAAAATCCCCAGGAGGGCTGTGAACACACAGATTGCTGGGCCTACTCCGTACAGATCTTAATGAGGTCCAAGAGTCTCCATTTTACCCACTTCTCAGGTGCTGCTGGTCCAGGACCCTACTTTGAGAACCACGGATATAAAGTAAGGAGACCTCCTCCAGAAGCCACAGGAAGGAATGCACTGTCTTGGAAGGTAAAGAGCATTTCTCTGGGGATTGTGAGTATGAATAAGACTTGGTGGGGGCACTGAAGCCTGGTGAGGGGTGAGGACACTCACAAAAGGACTGAAAGGCAAGACAAGATGGCATAGGATCATCAAGGCCTACAAGCTCAGAAGAGACTTCTCCAGCAGGGGCAGGGAAATCTCGGAAGGACTCATGGAGAGGAGCTATTTGGGCTGGGGGCTGGTGGGTGGGCAGCACACAGCACAGCTCCTGGCCCTTTGAGCGCTGGGAGGTGGTCTTCAAACATGTCAGCCTGGACTTGAAGAGATGAGGTCTACATCCCTCTCCTTGAATCTGGATGGGCTTGTGGCTGCTTAGACCAATAAACAGGCCCACCTCTCTGTCAGGTACTGTAGGCTCAGTGCCAGGACCCACATGTTTAGGAGCCAATGAAAATATTTTAATTTTCATTTTAATATCAGAAGAAGAAATGGAATGGGTCCAGACTGGATTATATTTGCTTTTATATCAAAGCAGTCACAAAATATAAGGCTCATGAGGGCCCACAAAATCCATAATGCAGCCCTGCCAGGTAATTATGACGGGAGTGATACTATGTGGCCCAAAAAAGGCCTTGCAGCTTCTACTCGATTTCCCTGGGATGCTCCCTCTGTAGGATGCCAGCCGCCTTGTGAGAAGTCCAGCTCCATTGAGGCCACCATGCTGGAGAGGTCTGAGGTACTTCAGCCAGCAGCCAACATGCAGCCCAATCCAGCCCTCAGGGACTCCAGGTGAGAACAGCCCAACTGAGCCGTTCTCAATTTCTGACTCACAAAACCATGACCCAAAACAAAATGGTCTGCTTTAGGCAGCTAGGTGTTGGGATAATTTGTTACGCAGCAATAGAAACCAGAAAGGGGACTCAGGCTGGTCTCTCATGGGGACCACGTATGGATCAGTAGTTCCTGATCCCAGCAACCCCCACCGTTTACTTGTTTGGGTCAGTTTTACAGTTTTTGCAAAACTGGACTGTTGCCGCTCAGTAGCCCATGTATTCACTAATGAGCCCAGGCGTTGCTTCTTCTGTCACTAGTAAGGAAGGAGTTAAGAGTTAGCATTTCCCAACAGCAATGGGAAACCGTCAAGAGGTGTGAAGTTGGGGAGTGACATGCAAGACCACTGTGGCTGTGCAACAGACTGGAGTGTGGGGGCATAGGGTGGGGATGAAGAGGGTTGGGAGAAGATACCAGATGATGGCCTGGGTGCCATAGAAAGGGTTCTTGGATGCAAACCACAGAAGTTTCATACAGCGAACTTACACAGAAGGAAGTTTATTGAAGGATCCTGGGGCATTTTCAGACTGATGGGAAGGTTGGAGAAAAGGGCCAGGGCTATGGCAGGCCAGGCATCCATGAACCAGGCTACGTTGTGCCATGGAACAGTATAGGGAAGGCACCACTTAGTACAGAGCAGCCATTGGACACTGGCACTGATGCTGTGAAAAATGATGAGCTCTCCCTCAGTCCTAGGGCCAGGGTACCAGGTTACTAGTGTGCAAAGGAGACTTCGAAGAAAGCAGGCAAAGGAGCAGGTTTGGGCAACTGGAGGTTGGGCAGGTGTGCAGCGAAGTGGCGAGGGCATGGGATGTGGACAGGGCAAGACAGTATCTGCTATGACAACCTTTAAAGGAGGGCACAAAGGCGACAGGAAGGAGCAGCTAAAGACCCATGAATCTCTATCCATTCCTATTGGATCCGGAACACCTTCTACAGGCACAGCCACCAGAGGAGGTTCTGAAAACCCCGAGAGTCCTAGCTGTTGAGCCACTCGGGGAATTTAGCCTCAGGTTGGCGCGGTGAAGAGCCCCGCTGCGCCCAGGACCGCGAGCCGAGAAGCCCGTGTAGGCCAGGGAAGTGGAGGTAACACTTGCCCCGGCGTCAGAGAGGGGCTGGAAATCTCTGGAAAGTGATGAACAGAGAAGCCTATCTGATTAGTTAAACCCAGATTATGCGGGCTGATGCCCTTAACGCAGTCAGGGGTCTAAAATGACTCCGGAGGCAGAACCGGGACGCTTTCAGGTGCTTGGTCCGGGTAGATTTGACTGTGTGGATGAGGGGACCGGGAGGAATCCACTGTTCATCCGTCAGAGCGCAGAGGCATCCCCCAAACCCGGGCCCGGACCCCGCAGCTTCAGCACCTGCCGGGGGGCCCGGGGACTCGCGGAGTGTCGTGCCCCGGGAATCGGCTCGCTCTCTCCTTTCCATGTCCCCTAACCGCTGAGGAATGACTAGACGCACTTCCTCCACCTTGTCCGAGGCGGGCCGCTGCGCCCCCACCCACTGGGGCCGAGCTCTGAGCCCTTCCGGGAGGTTCAGGCGCGCTAGAGGATCCCAGATCCGCTCTCAGTAGCACCTGGAGGTGGAGCGCAAATTGGCGCCGCGGATGGCTGGCGGTGGGGCAGTGAAAGTGCCCTCGAGCGCTGCTCTCCAGCTGCCTCGATGCTGCAAAAGAGGAGGCACCCAGCTTGCTCCCCGCCAGGGTCCCATGGGCCCCTTCCCTGCCGGTGGGGCCCGAGGAGGCGTTAGGGACACACCCTCCCTTTAGAGCCTCGCCTGTTCTCGGTCTCTGAATCCCCCACCATCTCCCAACTCCGGCTCCTCTTGTCCAATCTCTCGCTCGGCTTCGCTTTCCCTGTTTCTCCATGTCCTGAGTGGCCGGTTTAATAAACCTTATTTCTTTAATTTGTAAAATGGGTTTGGCAAGATCCGCCCCCAAGAGATTGAAGAGGCGGGTGCTTTTGGCATATGCGCTGCGGCCACTCGGCGTGGGATGGAGGAGGTTGGGGGGCCCACTCCGGGGCTCCGGTACCTCTGAGCCCCGGCCATCTACTTGGGGTCTGTCTGTCTCACTACGTGTCTTCTAACTCCTCTGACAAGGATAGGTGAGGGAGACCCCAAGATTCCTGCCCAGGAGAGGCGGCGTTGTCCGCATTTCCAGGCACCCGGGAGCCTCTTAGACCCTCCCGGTGTGGGTGACCAGGGTTGAGCCACCCTAGGGGCGACTCTCCCGACTGCCCTCCCCGAACGCCGGCTAGGAAATATATAGAACCGTGGGTGTCTCCCTTCACTGCGGCCCCAAGTTCAGATTTACAAACGACTTAAGAACGCCGTCCGGCGAGGAGCGGCACCTCGACCCGAGCCCTGCATGCCTTCCCCTGAACCCACAGATAAATTTGGGGGAGAAATTCTTGGCAGAGCCGAGAATGCCGCCAAGGTTTCAAGCTGGCCCCGCCCTGGAGCTGTTCAAAGGACAAGTATCCAAAGGAAAGTTATTGTTTTGCTAATCTCGGAAACAGCTTGCGCTAGGAGATTTGGGTTTTCCTTTAATAATGGGGAGTTAATGCGCAGCCCCTTGTATTATCTTTATCGGTAGCCCCTTGCTTAATCTGCGTGTTTAGCAGCAGAGGACACAGCAAAGGGCAAAGTGAGCGAGACCCACTTCGCCGCGCTGGGAGGACGCACAGCAGGAAGGCAGCGAGCCTTGTCTCCGTGGAGGAGTCGCCCCCTTCCGTGCGGGGTGCTTCAAGAGCTCTTCGTTTGGGAAGGGGAGGCTCCGGCTCCCGGTGATGCACCGGTGGGTGCGTGGGGTGGCCAGAGATGAAGGCAGAGACAAAAAATGAAAGTAGTTCAGTTTTCACCCGCTGTCTCGGACCCAAACTCTCAACCTTTTAACTAGCGGCAGGAGCGGCTCCCCAACGCGCTTTGTTCTGCTTGCAGTCTAAAACACAGCGCAACCTTAGCGAACATGGGAGTCTGACATGAAAATCATTCTTTCTTTGAATTAGCATAAAACCCAGCAGTAATTCATTAACCCCCATGGGAGTGGTGCGCCCCTGTTAACAGACCCTATTTTCCAATTTACACGTCTCCCATTTAGGGTTGCCAGATAAAATACTGGGACATACTTATACTTAAAACAAACAAATAAAGGGAGGGGGAAAATAACTGTTCATCGGAAATTCAAAATTTAACTGGGCCTCCTGTATTTTTATCTACTAGATCTGGCAACCCTGCCCTCACTGTCTTGGCCTGGTCTTCCCTCTCCTGCTCATCACCTACCTATCTGCCTCTGCTCCTTGTCCTTCTTCCAGATCGACTGCATTTTTGACACCCTACAGCTCAGCCACTAGAGTGCTGCGGTGGAGCTGGCTAGACAGTGGAGTGACATGGGATAAATAAACGTTTTCTCCCACTTTCCCTTTGAGGATTCCCGGAAAGGCCCTTTTGGCTCCAGTGGTTAAATTGGATGGCTGGCGGGGTTCATGTCTGTGGTAGGGATGCACGTGTGGCTGGGAATTGGGGCCCTAGGTCTTAATGAGCGACCGAGTCGTGTCAGGGAGGCTTCAGCGCGGCTGGGAGCCGGCTTTTCACCCAGAGAGTTTGGAAGGGAAAGGAAGACCGCGCCGGGGTCTGGAACCCGCGACTTTAGAAGGACGAGCAGACAGCGGGGTCGTTGTCCTCTTCCTCCTTCCGTTGCCCCAAGAACTGAGGAGAGGGAGTTGGAGAGGGCGAACAACTGGAGAGAGGAGGAGAAGTAGAGGTGTTGAGGGGGCTGCAGCTGGAAGAGCGGCGATCGAGGGGAGGGAAACTGGTGGCATCCCCCTCTCTTGGGGTCTGGAGCAGCGACGCGCCCGCGCCCAGCTGATTGGAGCCCTCCCGGCCTTTCGCAACCGACAGGCCTCCCAGTCGTATAAAGCGTCCTTTGAGTTGAGTTCGCTCCGCAAAGAGGAGCTGGAGGGGATCGCACCTCACCGGCTGAGAAGCCATGAACGGCGGAGACGCGCTTTCCGACGAGAGGGCCAGAAGTAGGGCGCTAGCGCCCGTCGGGGCCCTCCCCAGCCCGCGCCCCCGTGGCTTCGCCATTACCGATCTGCTGGGCCTGGAGGTCGAGCTGCCGGCACCCGCTGTCCCCGGGCAGGGATCCGCCTGCAAGGGCTCCGCGGGCCTGCCTTGCCCCGGCCCGGGGCTCGGCAGCTCCTTCCTGGAACGCGGTGCCCTCCCACTGGGGCTGGGCCTCCTTTGCGGCTTCGGTGCGCAGCCGCCCGCTGCAGCTCGGGCGCCCTGCCTGCTCCTAGCCGACGTGCCGTTCCTGCCGCCCAAGGGCCCGCCGCCTGCCTTCCAGTTGCCCCCTGGCCGCCCGCTGTCCCCGCTCCACCGCGAGAAGCACAGAGAAAGCGTCTCGGCGTCCGGTAATAAGGCCCGCGCTTCCCAGTCCTGCCCTTGTTTCCCTGGGCTTCGGTCGCGCAGAGGTAACACAACATCCCCCACAGCGCCCCATCCCAGCATCCCAAACCTAAGGGAAGGCGGGATCCACGAGTGAGGCCCAGTCAGGGGAGGCACATCCCCGCAGCCGTGCTCAGCCCAGTCCTTTCCCCTGCGCTCCTGCCCTTTGCTGGATCCCAGATCCCGCCTCCCCTCCGGCATCCGGCAGGTGCAACGCTGCAGACACCACCACCACGCAGTTCAGGGCCTACGGGGTGGGGGTGGGGGGTAAGGGTGGGGTCCTGGCCTCCAGGAACTGAGTGAATCAGAAAGGCGTGGGGCAGGGTTGTTCACTAGCAGCACAGAACCTGGTACCCAGTGAGCGCTTAAAGGTCAGCTGAATGATTGAGTCATTGACGAGTCCTAGGCCAGCGCCTGTTGGGGGCTTTAGAGCTGTTGGTCTTCCAACTTCCAACTCAGTGTCCTGAGTACAATGCTCCTTTATGCGCGCTCCCCGAATGTGAGGAAGGAAGCGACCTCACCGGTTTCGTTGTTAGACTTTTGTTTGCAGCCACCTATTTCCGCAAAAAAGTTGAGGCTGGTTGTGGGGGAAGAGAAGGAAGCAATGAAATAATTAAATTCTATAAAGGACGGTGGCTATAAAGAGCTACAGCTGCTAACCAAAAGGTCGGCAGTTCGAATCCACCAGGCGCTACTTGGAAACCTTATGGGGCAGTTTTACTCTGTCCAATAGGGTCGATGTGAGTCGGAATCAACTCGACGGCGGAGGGTTTGTTTCATTTTATTTTGAAAGTTGGGATAGAAAAGGGCGAATTACACAAGAAAACGGGATGTGGGTAACTATGTAATAGAACCAAGAGTTGAGCGTCCAGGCAGCCAAGGCAAAAAGGGAAGCAGGAGGGTACACTGGGCCTCACTGGTAATGAAAGGAAGTCCACAGCAGGCAGACTCTTGCTATTTTGAGGTCTCAGAGTATTTATTTCTTGAATCTCTATATATGGTAAAATGAAATCCATCCCCTTCTAGTTGTTTCACTAAAAATAAACCACCTTCATAGGATCCATTCTTTCTTCTATGAGTGCTGATAAAACAAAAGGTAAAATCCAACTAAAATTCTAGTCTGTGAGGACACTTCTGGAAGATCTAGAGCAGTGTTGTCCAATAGAAATATCCTGTGAGTCACATGTATAATGCAAACACTTCTCATAGCCACATTCAAAAGTAAAACCAAATGGAAGGGATTAACTTTAACACTAAATTTTATTTCATACAATAGATCTAAAATATTATTTTAACATATAATCAATATAAAAATTACTGAGATATTTTATATTCTTTTTTTGGTGCTGTTGTTAGTTGCTATGGAGTTGATTCTGACTCATGGAGATCCCATGTGTGCAGAGTAGAACTAACTACCCTGTAAGGTTTTCAGGGCTGTGGCCTTTCAGAAGCAGATTGCTAGGTCTGTCTTCTGAGGCACCTCTGGGTGGATTTGAATTGCTAAGCTTTTGGCTAGTAGTCAAGTGCTTAACCCCTTTCACTACCCAGGGACCTTTTTGGTGCTAAGTCTTCTGTGTCTGCTGAGTATTTCACAGTTACAGCAGATCTCAATTAGGACTAACCATATTTCACAAGCTCAATGGTCACATGTAGTTAAAGGCTACCAGATAGGGTAGCATGTACATAGAATATTATATTTCAAGCATACAATTTTCAGAACAAATTAAGGTAGGAGTAGAATTAATATGAGATTACTATTTTTGCTTTTATTCATTCTTTTATAATATTTTGAGATAAGTATGTTTGTTAGCAATGAATCTGACAATAATCTACTCTTCTTTTCCATCTGGATCTTTTGATATAATGGGTATCAAAAGATAAAGCATAGTGGAGTGAGTGGTTCTTAAATTTTAAAGTGAATACAAATCATTTGGGCACACTTATCAAAAGGAGTTTCCTGGAGCCTACCTCCAGAGATTCTGAAGTGGTAGGTCAGGACAGAGGTGCAGTTCTGATGCTGATTCTGATGTCACAAACCTCAGCTCTCCCTTTGAGAAACACTGATGGAGGAGATGAGGAAGTTAGAACAGAGGGAAGTGGATGAGTTTGGAAGCTGTGGGGGCAGGAAATAATAATCAGTAGCCAAGTGGCTTTGGCATCACAGTCTGGGGTTTGAATTCCAACTTCAATCATTTATGACCTGTGTGCTCTTGGGCAAATGACTTAACATCTCTGTGCCTCAGTTTCCTCATCTGTAAAAATAGGACAATGACAGCAGCTGTTTTGAAGTTGCTATTTTATTTTATGAGGAATAATTGAGACAATGCATGGACAATGCTATGCATGCTGTCAGGAATATAGTAAGTGCTAAAAATGTTATTACCTTTTACTGTTACATGATCACATTCCAGACAGGTTCATAACTTCATATTAAAACATGAAGAATACACTCACCTTTATAGTCCTCTCTCTCCTTGTGCTAACAACAGATGAGGACAGCCTGTCTGGAGACAGGAGTGACCTAAAGGCACCCAGCACACCAGGCAAGAGGAAGAAGCGGCGGCACAGGTACAGTGTCAGGCTGTCCTCTGACCGCTTTTCCTTGGACACAGCCCCCAGGGCTTATGGGGCCAATGTTGAGACTTCATGGTCCTGGGTTATGGCAGGCCCGGATGGCAGTGGGAAGGGCAGAGTGACAATTTGGGAACATAACTAAGCAATCCCAGGAGGATATGAGACAATCTTTGCAGCATTTTAAAGACACAATTTTGTGAATCTTTAAAATGAGTCTTCTTAGAATGAGTTGATGAGATTTATTGAGGAGGAAGAAGAGCTCAAGAACTGCTTTGTTTGAGCCAAACTTCTGGACTTTCTGGAGTCTAATTATTCAGGGCCCAAAGAGAAAGAGGTGGAGTATACAGTTATTCCGAGGTGGTCTTTTGGGGTGTGGGTGGCAGGGGAGGCAGGAGCGGGCCTCCTCTGAGGCTGGGAAGCCCAAGCTGCCCCTGTGGGTTCACACACAGGTGTGTGTCTGGTCCTCCCTGCAGGACAGTTTTCACTGCCCACCAGCTGGAAGAGCTGGAGAAGGCGTTCAGCGAGGCCCACTACCCCGACGTATATGCCCGGGAAACACTGGCAGTGAAAACCAAGCTCCCTGAAGACCGAGTACAGGTACACAAGGGCCTTCTCCTTCCCAGAGACACTTCAGAGACCACTGGCCTGTTGTCCTCCTCACACACAGTGAGTTCACTCATAGCCACTTCCATATACCCAGAACATTCCTTCCACTTGCAAACCGATGGTCATTTATCCCAAGGCCACAACACTGGGGCCTCCACACAAGTACTTCAGAAGGATATCCCGGTCACCCTCAGCCTGTTTTCCTTTGATTAAGTCTTTTACAATTCCATAGCAATAGGTGTGCTGTAAGTAGAAAAACTAGAAACTACATAAAAATGCTTTAATAAGAACAATGACTAACCACCTCAAACCTCAAAGAAACCGACATTAAGTCACTTGATGTGACCTCTTCACACACACCATCTCCATGTCATCAGTGCAAATTAGTATAATAAATATATATATATATGACTCATGTACGTATACATATCCCAAATCCAATGTGTGTACTGAGAGTGTAAATATGCATCCTCAAACTGGATTTTGGATATATAGATATACTTCACATACACACATTGGATTTTGTTCTTATGAAAAGGTACCTTGCTACAATCATTACCCTCTTCTTGGTTTCTCACTTGATAACAAATCTTGGAGGACACTTTTTAAAGTCAGAAGATATGCCAGTAACTCACTCTTTTTAACAGCTGGATAATCTTCCACAATACTCTTGCGTTAAGATATGTTTTTCATGAGAAATTTCCAGCAATCCAACAACTGAGATTAGAAGGAGGAAAGACCAGTGAACATCAGAGTCTGCTTCTTTGTACAATGTATGGTAAAGATTCTTGGGTTCGATTTTCCATTTCTTACACTATGGAAACCTGCAGTGGTCATGCATTGTCCCCACAGCACAGCCCCTGTGGGTTCTGAGTGGGTGGTGGGAACATCTCCTGGACAGTGTCAGGTCTAGAAGTCTCACCTGAGTGGGTACATGGCCATCTTTAGAAGAACCCCATGTCATGGCACCCCTTCATGTTGTCTCTTCCTGTGTATCCTTTCTGTTTCCCCTCCTGCCTCACACCAGGTCTGGTTTCAAAACCGGAGGGCCAAGTGGAGGAAGCGGGAGAAGTGCTGGGGTGGCAGCAGCGTGATGGCCGAGTACGGACTTTACGGGGCCATGGTTCGGCACTCCCTTCCACTGCCCGAGTCCATCGTCAACTCAGCCAAGGGTGGCCTGGCAGGCTCCTGCATGCCCTGGCTGCTGGGTGAGAAGGGGGGCTGTGTGAGTGGGCTGGCCAGAAAAGATGAGGGTGGGGGGTGGTTCTCTACCTGAGGCAGGCCAGTCACTGAGGCAAATCTGCATGTATGTTTATGCATAAATGTACATGCAGATTCAGGCCCAAAATGTTACATCTAATTTTAATTAATCACAACGGTGCAGTATCTGGAAAATTGCCCTATGTTTTCACTGGAGCTGTGTAGACTGTGGAAAGGTCACATCAGGCTATTCATGTTGGTGAATAGGTATTTGGGACTCAAGAGAGGTGTGATGTACTTGCCGTATGTGAAACGTGTATTTCCAAAATGTTGAGAGCTCTTACAAATTTTTGGAAGCCATAATATAAATGTTCTAAGGAGGCAGTTGTGGTTTAGTGGTAGAATTCTTGCCGTCCACGCAGGAGACCCAGTTTGATTCCTGGCCAATGTACCAACATGCAGCCACCACCCATCTGTCAGTGGAAGCTTGTGTGTTGCTATGAAGCTGGACAGGTTTCAGGGAATCTTCCATAGTAAGATGGGCTAGGAAGAAAGGCCTGATGATCTACTTCCAAAAATCAGCCAGTGAAAACCCTATGGATTACAATGGCTCAGTCTGCAACCGATCATGGGGATGTTGCAGGACCAGGCAGCATTTCGTTCCACTGTGTGTGGGGTTGCCGTGAGTTGGTGGCTGACTCAACGGCAGCTAACAACAACATGCTGGGGACTGGAGATCTCAACAGTACATATGAGCTGAACTCTGCCCTCCAGGATTGAGGAGACTAGAGAGAGAATGTACCCAGACTGAAATTACCCGAACTCAGGAGTCTTGCAAAGGAGGGAGAAGGGTGCTTGTGGAGCCACCACTTGGCCCAGATATGCTCCATGAGACCAGTGTTGACGTTCTGACTTTTCGAGAGAGGCTGGAGGTCTGGCTTTTCTTCTGATTTGAGAATGCTGGCAACCAATTTTAAAATAAACTCACTGTGATACCCAAAGTGCCTTTGCTGGCAGCATATGTTGGCAGATGCTGGTGATTCATGAGTATCCAGGCAGGTGAGGAGACAGGCACTGGCAAGGACAACAAAGATAAAGGAGAAATTTACTCAATGGCTGGCTTTAAAGATACTTTGTTTTATTATTTTCTTTCTGCAAGGGATGCGTAAAAAATCCATCGCGATGACAAGTAAACGAAGAAGTGAAGAAAAGTTGACAGGACTCTGGGGCTCTGACACTCCCCGAGGAGATTCCAGCCCAAGTCAGGTAGGGCCCCAGAGCAGCTCAGGCAAAGTGAGCCCAGAGCAAGGCCTGGAGGACGAGGTCGTGGACCTCTCCAGCTCCACCAGGCAAGAGACCCAGAGAGAGCCACGAGTGGCCCAAGTAGGAGCGAGCTCGGACTCCACGGGCCTGGAAGGGCTCAGGCCTGGGGAGGCAGGAGTCTTGTGAGGCCCACAGGCTCCTCTCAAAGGGCAGAAACAGGCATGTTTGTTTCTGGCATCGTTTCAAGAGACAAAGGGTGTCCAAGACAAATGCTCCCAGCTGAAATTTCTTCTTGATGTGCCAGGATAAACTGCAATGTCACTTGCTTATACAGGACAAGTGAGTGGTTGAGGGAAAATCCCATCTCTTTCTAGAATGGAAATTGTTCCTTAAAGGCACTTGAATCAGTTTATTTGATATAAAATTTTGATTCTCTTTTGTAGAACGTGAGGAGGGAGGACTTAAAGTTCAAAAAGCATTTTTACTGGTGGACATCCTAAGACTCAGTTCAGTATAGAGTGTAGACTAATAGGTTAGATCTGATGTCCTCACTCCAAATTTGAAAACATAAAATTATTTAATCTCCAGAAAAATCAAGTATCTACACCTAGTGAAGACTCCACACAGCCATCTGAATGAATTATAGTATCTTTTAGACTTTTCACCTTGAACTTGGCTTTGTACGTTTCAGTTTTCTTGGTATGCAATAATTTTGTGTTCTCCTGAGTGTCATTTGACAGGTTATGCATGTGGGAACTGATAAGCAAACAAAGAAAGCCATACTGTCCCCTTTTGAAAAACATGAGACCATGTTTGAACAGCTGGTGAATATCTGTAAAACACTGATTCCAGGTCAGACCAGGCTTCTTGGTCCTTCTGTATTTCTGTTTGAAAGCACTTTAGTAATTTGGATTTTATGAATGTTTCATTTCCTGTATGTCCTTTGCCACTTATTTATTATTTAAAAATAAAGGTTTTGTGGTGTGCTTCCTTCTCAAGGCACATCTCCATTGTCACTGCTTTCCTGACATGGCCTCTCTCCTTTTATCCCTTTTCCTTTTTCAGTGTCAGAGCTTCTAAAGCATTTTCTTCTTCAGGTGCCAAGCACTCATCATGTGTTCCTTTGCTGGCTCCTTTGCTGGACTGGGAGCTCCTGTGGGACTGAAACTATGTCTAATTCATCATTTGAAGTTCAGAAGTCAGAGAGAGATTACATGTAATTGAGGGGGAAATGCGGGGCTTCATGAACAAGGTGGAGCAGGTAGAGGGAAAGTACGAGAACTTTCTGAGGTCATTCTCTGTAAATCATCACGGTAATCCTCCTGGCAGGGCTCAGTGCTAACATCTCTTCAGGTGAGAAAAGTGAGGCTCAATTCTGTTCCTTTGGTCTATTTTCCTCAGCCCTGGTGGCACAGTGGTTAAGAGCTATAGCATGCTACAGTTGCTAACCAAAAAGGTCACCAGTTCAAATCCACCAGCTGCTCCTTGGAAACCCTATGGAGCAGTTCTGCTGTGTCCTATAGGGTCACTGTGAGTCAGAATAGACCTGATGGCAAGGGGTTTGGTTTCTTCGGTTTATGCTAGTTCCATACTATTGTGAAAATTAAGCACTACTTCTTCCTTACTGCAGAAGCAGGAAGCAATGAGCTGTACTTTCTTTTATTCAATCCTGGCTAATAGAGATCATGGCTGAAGCCCAAGGCTGAACCACTAATGAGTAATTGTTGGCAAAGTACTCTGGAAGGATAAGAGACCACAGGCCACGCTCCTAACTCTGTGCCACGCTTGTTACAACCGTTTTCTGCCCCCAGTGGCTTCTCACACGTTGTTTTATGTTGGTTCCTTAGTTTATCCAGTGTTGAGTTTGAGGGAGGGATCCAGTAACCTGTGCAATTTATATACGTTATGCTCATAAAATAAAATACTAGGCTAAAAATGATAATAAAGTATATTTACTTACATGAAAAAATGTTCATGAAATGTTGTGAAGTTTAAAGTCCCCAAATAAAAGAATGAAATAATAAAAAAGAAAGATACAAGCCAAAATAAACATACATGTAAAGCAGAATAAAAATGAAATAAATAGCCTTAACAACTGGTTCTACAAAAAATATACAAATAATGGGCAAAAGTCTTTGCAACTTGTGAAGAAAAAGGAGAAAACAGGAAGAGGCAAAAGAGAAAGGGGCTATAACCCCTCATATAGACTATTTTAAGTGTATGGGAAAAATACTATAAGCGATTCACAACTGAAATGCATATTAATATATTTTGAAAATCTCCCACAAATGAATAAATTTTCTGGAAAAATACATATTATTAATATTGACTACAAAATAAATGTGAAATATGAAAGATCAAGAACCAAGAAAGTCACAAAACAATTATGTTATAAAATGGCTCTGAGTCTAGATGGAGTTATGTGTGAATTTTTGAAAGTTTTTAAGGAAGAGATAATCTGTATGTACATAAACTATTCTTGAACATAGAAAACAGTGAAATGTTCCTAACCCTAACATAATCCTGATTCCAAAACCCAGCTAAGATAGTGTGCGCATGTGCGCATGCGTGCACACATCCACACAAAACCCAAAATGCTCAATTTGGCTCCATTAATGGAAATGTGAAATTCCTAACAAACTACCATTGTTTAGAATTTAACAGTATACCAAAAATTACTTTGACTACAGAAAGTCTACCCCAGCAATGCAAAGTTAATTTAATATTGTGAAATAAAGTTATTTGTACATTTTATTAACGGCTCAAACAAAAAATTAAGCTTATCTTAACTGATGTTGAAAAGCATTCAATAAATAAATATCATTTCTTAAAAAATACTTTTAAAAAGTAGGAATAAAGGGATGCTTCTGTCGCAGCCCCTCGCACGGCACCATCTGTTGCAGCGGTGACGGTTGTCGGGGTGGCAAAGACAGTAGCCAAACACAACCCTTACAGAGAAGTGGGGCCAGGAGGGTCACTCTGAGGAGTCGACCCCCGGCTCCAGTCCCAGGAGTTTATTTATAGTCAATACAGCAAGCAGTGAAGCAAATAACAGAACAATGGGCTTTGGGTGAGTAACAATAAGTTTCGGGCAAGGGAGAAGGAATTCAGGTAAACAAGCCAATCAGTAACAGGAAAATAGGTTTCGGAAAACAAGTCACGCCTAATCTCTTTCTTATCACTGACAAGTCTCCAATATGTAGTATACAGCATAGAGGCCTGTGGGGGCTGAAGTTGTCAATAGTGCAGCCAAGTTTAAATGGCATATATCCCCACATTTCCCCCCTTTTGTTTAGTTAATGGAATAAGAATCTAGAGGGTTTTTACTAGTCCAACAAGTGTCCGTTAGGACAAAGTAAAATTTTCTCTACGAGATAAAGTCTAAGATTATCTCAGCTACTGTCTCCACACCTCAGGGCCTGGCGACTTAGTGAGTCCTTGTGAGCCCAGCTACAGCTGGGGCACACTCCATATGTTTAAGGAGGAGAAGTAGCATAGCTATGAGTAACACCTGGACTTAGTCGCCTAGATGGCGGCCACAGCAGGCTTTTTAAACTCACGGTGCTGGTTTTCCACTGGATACCATCTGGTTTTTCACCAGGTTGTTACTTAATGCCTGGACTTAGTCTCCTAGATGGCAGCCTTAGCAGGCTGTTTAAACTCACGGTGCTGGTTTTCCACCGGATACCATCTGGTTCTTCACCAGGTTACTAAGTAAGAGCGATGCTCTTATCAATTGCATAGCCGGAGTCAGTGGACTCAATGTGCCTTTCAGGTGTGTAAGACAATAGAGGATGATCTTATGAGGCTAATATAATCCTCTGCACTAGTAATATCCTGATTGTTGGACCCATGGGTTTCCTCTGACTCTCATTTTGTCAGGTAAACACTAACTTTTAACATCCACTGAGATTATTATTCTTAAAGGCTTAAAGATTTATAAAGGCTCAAAGATTCATTAACAATCAAGCAAGCAATGATTTACACAGCTTCACTATTACTTGGAAGGGAATCACTAGGAAGGGCAATTTACACATCATAACAGATTTAACAATCAAACAAACACTGATTTACACAAATTTACTATCAATTGGAAAGGAATCATCTAACTTAGGAATCTGTCTATACAGAAGCATCTAACGAGGAGAAGCAGAAAATATAGAGGAGTTTACACATAACAAATTTTCATTGGGAACTTACTGATTAACAAGATAGTATAGGATGACTATTGAGAATAGATTGTCACAAGGGAAACCATAGCTAGAAACAGGCTTCCAGGTACAAGTGAGGCACCTGCAGTTGAGAGGATGTGCTCAGCTTTGGAGGAGAGGCTTTTAGACCTCCCCATGTTACCGGTAGTGCAGATCTCCGTTGTTCCGTGTCCATCCCCGGGGGAAGGGGTGATTTCAGGTCGGATGGCGGCCCTTCAGTGTTCATCCCCGGAGGAAGGGGTGCCAGTGTCGGTTGTGGCTCTGGAGTCAGATTGGATGGCGGCTCTGGCAGCCACAGCAGGGGTGGTGGCAGCTGTTCTGAGAAGGGAAGGGGCGGAGGCGCAGGGCAGAGTGTGCCGGTGCGTGGGGGAGCCACAGCACAGGGCGCGTCCGGGACCCCTAGTTGCGGCCGGAGCACACAGCCCACTTTCGCCTGCCCAGAGCCTCCAGGCGGGGCTGTCCTGAGTGGCGACACTGCAGGCGACCGGGCCGGCAAGCCCGGGCAGCGGCAACCTGGGACTGGGCTTGGAGCACCGCAGGAGGGATGGAGCACGGGCTGTGCCACAGCAGGAGCGGGAATCCAAAGTGGACCTGTAGGAGACAAAACAGCCACATACCCTTGCCCCCAGGTAATTCCTTGCCAGACAGAGGGATTTTGAGGATCTTTATAGAGGACCTGTGGGTGAGGTCGGGTGTCAGAGGGGATAAAATGTCATTCTGCAGCAGTACGACCATCTTTAGCAACCGATAAAAAGTTAAAAATAAAGAGAGCCTTGGCAAGTCTTTCATTTTTGTCACATACTCTAGACCCATCATCTCCCCCCCTTTGTTTATTTAAGATCTGTTTGAGAGTATGATGGGCACGTTCAATTATGGCTTGCCCTTGAGGGTTATAAGGAATGCCAGTGGAATGAAGAATATTCCAAGTGGCACAAAATTGTTGAAATTTAGCCGAAGTATAGGCAGGACCATTATCAGTTTTAAGAGCTTGGGGACATCCCATAGTCGCAATGGCTTGGGTGAAATGACGACAGGCATGAGTAGAACGTTCCCCAGAAAGGGCTGTGGCATAAAGAAACCCAGAACATGTATCTATGGATACATGGAGATATTTAAGTTTCCCAAAGGGAGGATAGTGTGTTACATCCGTTTGCCACAATTGATTGGCTATTAGACCATGTGGGTTGACGCCAGCAGCAAAGGACGTGGGAGAAAAGCGTTGACAGTCAGGACAGGTGTGAACAATATGTTGTGCTTCAGTAAGGGAGATAGAAAATTGTTTTCAAAGTCCATGTGCATTTTGATGAAAGAAATTATGAGAAGTTCATGCATTAGAAAAGGTAAAGCGAGCAAGTAAATTGGTGCGAGAATTGCCGTCAGAAAGAGGCCCTGGCAAGGGTGTATGGGAGCGCACATGTACCACAAAAAAGGGAGAGTTATGGCTATTAAGCAAGGTTTGAAGCCTTTTGAATAAAGTAAATAACTCATAATCGGGACTAAGTCGAAAAGTTACATCACTAATATGTTGAATAGTGTGAACAACGTAAGCAGAATCAGCAATTAAATTGAACGGCATTGATTTAAAAATTTCAAAGGCAGCAACAGCTGCTGACACCTCAGCACACTGTGTAGTGGAAGCCTTTTGTGTAATGAAATGTTGCCAGGCACTGTCTGTTTGCCAAGTGACCGCTCATTTTCCAGTTTTTCCTGATCCGTCTATAAAGGCAGTAGGGGCACTAGCAAGAGGGGAAGGAGAGAGCATAGTAGAAAATTGTAACAGAAGAAGCTGTAGGGTAGAGAGTGGCTTTGAAGTGGGATAAGAATAAATTACTTGCCCAGTAAAATCAGCCAAAGTGATCTGGGGCTCTTCAGAATTAAGAAGAGCATGATCAAAAGCTGTCTTTGTTACCCCAAAGTATATAAAATGAGGGTCAGAACCCAAAAGCTGTTGAGTGCGGGTGTGTCCTTGCATTAATAAGTTAATGCACTGAGAGAAGCGTGTAAACAACTACTGCAGAGGGCGATAAGGAAGAAAAAGCCACTCAAGTGCTCCAAAGTCAGGAGTAAATTGAAAGAGTATGCCTGTAAGACTATGAGGAGTATTTAATAGGAGAAGGTAAACAGGATAATTTATCTGTAAACGAGTCAAAAATTTTTCTTTAACGGCTTGGTTAACAAGTATTAATTCATGGCGTGTTTGGGGAGAGAGTGTTCTCATAGAGGTTAGAGCAGGGTCACCCTTAAGGGTCTCAAA